CCTCATTCTCCTTCTCCTCCTCCTCCTCCTCCACCGCATACACACGCACGTACTGTTTCTTCGCATGCGGGCACTAGCGAGGCAGGCACTGGTCAAGCATCGGGAGGGGCGCTCCGGAACACACACACACACACGCGCACACACACGCACACACACACACACACACACACACACACACGCGCGCAAACGCACACACACATACACACACACACACACACACCCGTAGCCGTTTTGGCTCAAAATGCTTTGTTCCACAGGGGAACGCGTGGATACCGCTAGTCCGCGGCCAGTGCCAGGGCGTTTCCGCCCGACAGTTTTGATCCAGTTGTGGGCGAGGGGTAGGCTGTGCGCTGCCCACTCGTCATGTCCAATGCTTCTCAGAGGGCCAGGTCGGAGCCGCGGGCCAAGGGCGGCGGCAAGGCCAAGGGCAAGGGAGTTGGCAAAGCGGGCAAGACCAACGCCACGTCCGCTGTGCGCACTGCTCGTACAAGTGGAACTTCAAGTCTAGGGCCGAGTGCTACAATTGCAAGAAGGCGCTCAAGCCTGCCGTCGTGGACGAGACCGCACGGCCATGGGCGGCGGCTTGGTCCTTCGTGCGGAAGCCGTGGGTGGCGCACGACGAGGCCTGGTACGCCGACCCGCCGCCAGCGGCCAGCCCTCCCTCCGACGCCGAGTGCCTCGCGGCTTTGGCGGCGCGGCACCCTGAGCAGTGCCCAAGTTGGCGGTCGCACCGCCCGTTGTGGCCACGGTGCTGCCCGACGTCGCCCTCCACCGTGTGCAGGCCAAGCAGCGGAGGGCTCAGGCGCAGGTCCGCGACGCCGAGCAGTGGCTCCAGGCTTGCCGCGAAGAGGAGCTGCGCGCGGGGGAGGCACTCCTGGCGTGCAACCTGGAAGTGGAGGACGCCTACAAGGCCGCCGCGCCAAAAGGTATCCAGGTGCAGGCGCAGGCGGAGCAGCAGCAGCCAGGAGTTGAACCCAAGCCAATCGTCGGGCTCAACGTCACGGCGCTGTTGGCGGAGGACTTCCAGGTCGAAGCGGGCGACGCCTTCAAGCTCGACGATCCCGACTTGGACATCACAGATGCCGAGCGCGAGGAGTTCAGCAGGTCCCTGCAGAGCTTCGTCGACCAGGTCAAGCAGCACGTCCGCACCACGTTTGGGGACGCCAAGGCGCAGCTGGAGCAGAGGCGCAGCGAGATCGACGCCGAGCATCAGCTGCTTCTCGCCAGGCGCAAGCGACCCCGCACCGAAGCTGCAGCCCCAGAGCCAGCCGCCGCAGCACCAGCAGCTGGCCAGGCGGCGGCAGCAGGCGAAGGCGATCCGCAGGCAGCCGCGGCAGCTGCCGCCGCCCCCAGCCAGGACGCAGCCCCTGGGCGGCCACCTGGGGACGGCGCTGCTGCTGCTGCTGGTGCTAGCCTTGCTGAGCCACCCAGCCTGCGCGGCCCAGATGGCCCAGCCAAGCTGGAGCAGCTCTGGCGAGAGCTGGCCCAAGCCACACCCGTCCCAGCGGACGTCACTGCGTGAGCCTCCCACGCGGTGCCCAGGAGGTGAGCCAGGGGCCAGGCCCAGCGCCCCACGGCTGGCCCGCGTGGGCAGGCGCGAGCAGGGCATCCTGGCCACCCGCAGGCGGCGCAGGGCGAGGCGGTGGTGCCTCGCACCGCGCCTGGGAGCCTCCCCTCAGGACAGCCGCCACTGGAACTCGGTCTCCTACATCTTCCACCAGCGGGGCTCCCTGGAGCACACCGACATGCTGGACGACCTGGCGGCAGCCCCAGGCAGCGGCGTGCGCACCGCAGAGAGGGGGAGTTTCGCTCAGGAGTTGTGCGACGATGCTTGGAGTCATCCGTGGAGCATCGTCTACAGGCGACTTCTACGGCAGAGCGTGGATGACTGGCAGGCAGCTGAGGAGGCCGCCTACGAGAAGGAGGCCAACCACAGCATGGTCTGGGACGTCAACCTACAGTGCTGGAGCCTCCTTACCGGCCAGGCCCCCCAGTTCGCCAAGGGCCCACTGTCCCCAGACGACGGTGGGCCACCAGCTCAGGCAGCAGTTCCACCTGAAAACGCCCAACGTTTCTCAGGCGATGGTTTCCCAGACGGCCCTGGCGAGGCCCCGCCGCCTGCCTAGGGTCGGCGTGCCTCAGACGACGGTGGCGTGTCAGGCTGTGGTCTCCAGCCTCCCCCAGTCATCGTCCCTGGCGCTCGGCCTGGAGGTCCCCATCGGCAGTCCGTGACGCTGGAGGCCCAGGAGCCCGACCCCGGCCACGACCCTGCTGGAGGTTTGCGCGGTGCTCCCCCTGGGGATTACCATCGCATTTCAGCTGGTGGTCTCTCTCGCACGGGGGCCCAACGGATTTCAGCAGCTCCCTCTGGCAGGCGTTCATTTGGAGGTGCTCATGCCGCAGAGGGTTGTTTTTCTCAGGCAGGGCGACGCAGTCTACTACAGAGGGGGGCCCCTCTGGCCCTGCCCAACCTGGAGGAGGCTGCCTGGATGTTGGCCGGCAGAGCGAGGCGAACTTGACGGCCATCAGCGAGGACAGCGGTGGCAGGCCATACCAACCACCAGCAGCAGGGGCACGGAAGGGTCCCCGACGGCGGCGCAGCAACAGGCCCTTCACCTTCCACAGCCTCAACGCCAGCCTCAGTTGGGGCAACGGCGTGGCGTACCTCCAGGGCGCGGCACACCAGCAGAGGTCCGAGGGCAGGTTTCTGTTCAAGGCTTTCCAGGAGCACGGCAAGCGACACTTGTGGGCCGAGGAGAGCGCGAGGGTGCGCCAGCTGGGATGGAGGGCCCTGCCAGTTCCAGCCACCCACGGACCGAGCGGGCGCGACTCGGTGGGCGTCTTGCATGTTGTGCCTGCATGTGTCAGCGTCACTCTTGCGCCCGAGCAGCGACACTGGGACATCTCTCCCCCAGGAGGTGCGGGCAGGCTTTCGGTGGCCACGATCGAAGCCAAACACAGTGGCGAGTTCTTGCTTTACTGTGCTTCCCGCGTTACTGGTCAGAGGTTTTCGCCTGTGGGCAACGTGGCTAGTTTGGTCGGTTTCATCGTGTGGGCGGTCAAGCTCCAGCTACCTTTGATCGGCGTCGCGGTTTGGGAGAACCTCCCTGAGCATCTGGAGCGCTCAACGTGGCCGTCGCGGGTGCTCCTCCTGCTCGCCTTCATCATTGGAAAGCTTGACGGCGGTGGGCGGCCCATCGTGTGGCCTTGCCCAGGCAGAGTCTGGGAGGCCTGGCAGCCCCCCTCCATAAGACGGTGGGGGGGGAGCACACCCCGCGGGTTACGACTACACGGCAGCTGGGCAATCGTCAGAGAAAGCACTGTGGAAGGCGCTCCTGGACGAGGAGCTGGTCCTTGGCACGGGCACCCGTGCCGCTACTATGCTGGCCGACTTGGCCAAGCGCTACGAGATGTTTCCTCCGCCGCGAGGGGGGGGGCTACAAGGCGCCGACGTCCACCTCGATTTGCTGCAAGTGGGTCCCAAGTCGGTGGAGGTGGCGCTCCTCTACGCAGCCCGTAGCCGAGCCCCAGCTCAGTGGGCAGCGGCCAAGCCAGATCGAGTTGCGCTCCTTCCTGCGCCAAAGCTGCCGCCCGCGCGGCAGCGGATCAAGAGGCGCAAGCAGGACGGCTGGTTGCAGCACAACGCGGACGCGGTCAACCAAGCGGTGCTCGGTGGTTCCCCCTCGCAGGAGCCCCCTTTCAAGTCGGGCCAGGCGGACACGCCCTACTGCCAGCTCGGCGTCGACTACAACGAGTTCGGCACCATGCAGCTCTACCACTGGCAGTGCGGCCGCAGTCCGACGTCCGCCTCAGTGCGGGACCAGCTCACAGCGTACAACGCGGTTCCCACCTTTCGAGATGTCTGTCCCCTGCTTCAGCAGCAGAGCGCCTCCATCCGCAACTTGCGCGATCGTCTGAGGCACTACGTGTTGCTGGAAGGTATCGAGGAGCTGCAGAATCTCTTTGAAGTCTTCACCTCCCGCGAGAGGCAGCACGAGGATGTGCAGGAGCTCTCAGCTTGGCATATGTGGTGCAGTCACCATGCCTCCTACATGGAACGGCAGATCGGCGTGGAGCGGCGCCAGTCCCTCAAGCAGCGTTTGGAGGACGACTTACCTGGTTCGCAAGGGCTCATTCACAGCAGACACAGTCACTTCGCAGACGTTCGGGCTAAAGGAAGGGCTGACCTCAGCGTGCCGCCAGAGGGGGTCGTGTCGCAGCTCAAGCAGGAGCTCAAGGCCACCAAGCGCATGCTGGAGTACTGTGGTCCTCTCAGGGCCCTCCCCGGCGAGGCCAAGCTGGCCGTGCCTCGCCCTCGGCTGCAGCAGCAGAGCGCTTACGCGCCCCCGACAGCCCGCCCCAAGGCGGCGCCCAACCAGCCACGCGTCCTGGAGGCTTGCCGGGGATACCACAAGTGCGTCAACGGTGGCAAGGTGGCGCGCACTCAGCTGGCGGCCGTTCAGCTGCAAGAAGGTCGTGGTCGACTCCAAGGGCTCCAGGCTAAGGTCAAGAGTGCCGTCAAGAGGGGAAGTGTGGCGGTCCCCCTGCTGGTGGCAGCTGGCGCCACTGGCCGCGCCGTGCGCCAGCGCCCAGACCACGAGGCCCAGGACGAGGAGCTGCGCCTGACAGACCAGACCCCCCCGCAGGGGCCGCCTGCTCAGGTCCATTGGGAGCCAGTGGCAGCAGCCAGGGCGGCCTTGAGCAGGATGAAGGCATTGCCAGACGGGCCTGGGTGCATGGGCGTGCCGCCCCCCGAGCTCATCCCAGAGCACCACGTGAGGTCGATCACAGACGACGCGGTGGTTTGGGCGTCTTTCTGGATCGACAGGTTCGACCTGGACGTCCACCTCAACGAGCGGGTCTACTGCACGTGGTGCTCCGAGTACTTGGAGGTGTTTGTGGGCACCGCCGCCTGGACCCCCGTCCGAGAGCACCTCCTCAGGAGCAACCCTGGGCGCACGCTGCGGCAGACCGTCGTCGACCTGCGTGCCACGCCCTGAACGTGGGCGGAGCCTGCTAGACAGGCACAGCTTGCCAGGATGAGGTCCGACTCGGACTCAACCAGCAGACAGAGATGACGGCCCTGCGGCATCATTTCGGCGTGTGGCACCTGTTCAGGGTGCGCTTCAGGAGCTTGCTGGGGGACCGCGCTCCACCCGCACCAGCTCCGCGGCATCAGTGGGTCTACGAGCCGCTCTCCTCGGGTTCCGACAATCAAGGTGGAGATGTGGCGGTTCGGGCTCAGGAGCAAGCCCACGGCTACGACAACGGCGAAGAGTTTGAGGCCCTCTGCGTGCACTGTGTCGCGCGGATCCGCAGTTCAGCCCAGTTGGCCCACCCTGCTCGGTGTGTCGGCGTCGGTCGGGAGGGGCAAGGACGAGCTCGCCTGCTCCCTGGACCTGGGCGACGGTGCGGCTACGGCGGGGGCCTCTTCTCACGCCGTCCAGGTCGGCGTTACGTTCAGGGTGTGCGCGTGTGTGGTTACTGCAGCTCGATCGCCAGGGCCATCAGCGGACCCTGCAGGCGGCTCGATCCCTGGGATTCTGGGATCGTGGACGCTGTGGCGTTTCCTCCGCATCAGGCGAGGCCAAGGCCCAAAGGGCACGGATCTGTGTTGAGGCCGTTGTGCTCGTTCAATGATCTGAATGGTCTCTCTGTTGTGCGTTTCGGCCCTCCTTGGCGCGGCGGTGTCCGTGAGCTGAGGAGCCTGGGCGGGGTGGCCGCTCGGGGCGCGCGGGCCTCTCTTCCCGCGGTGCGGGTGGCCTGGGCGTGGCGCATATTTTCTCGGCCCCCCTTGGCACCAGGCTGAGGGGCCTAGGGTGGGGCGCGGCCTCGTGGGGGCCACTGCGCTCTGCACCCTGGGGATTTGGCGGGGGCGCTGCCCGCAACTCGGCCCTGTCAGGCTCGGAAGGCGGCTGAGGGTCGCTCGAGGGCCCAGCGCATGGGCCTGGAGAGGTGCCGACGCCCCAGGCTGCCGAGGCACCAAAGCACCAAAACACACACACACACACACACACACACACACACACACACACACACACACACACACACACACACACACACACACACACACACACACACACACACACACACACACACACACACACACACACACACACACACACACACACACACACACGCACGCGCACGCACGCACGCACGCACGCACGCACGCACGCACGCACGCGCACGCACGCACGCACGCACGCACGCACGCACGCACGCACGCACACGCACGCACACACACACACACACACACACACACACACACACACACACACACACACACACACACACACACACACGCGTGCACAAGCGCGCGCCAGACCTCTCGGGGTTTGGGATCGGGTGCGGCTCGGGACGGCCCTTGGCCTGCGCTCGACGCGCACCCGGAAGCCACGCTCAGGCCTTGTAGTACTTGGTCGGAACGAATGGCATCTTGACTACCTGGAGCCGGATATACTTATGAAGAGTGCCCAGAACAACTACGGCCCACATCCGCAGGAGGCATCTATATATATATATATATGTATATACACCACCACCATGCCTGGCCAGGGGCATCCTGGGACCTGGCTTGGTACAAATGTCCTCCTGGCCACCGAGACCAGGAGGGTCTGCAGACCATCCTGGGGCCCAGGATGAACCTTGCCAGGCATGGTGGTGCTGGCCAGTGGTGGTGCAAAGATGCCTTCTGCCGACCACCCAGAAATCCTCGCGGTCGGGCCGATAAAGCTGGCAAGACGGGTAGGTTTTAGCAGCTGGTCCTTGACCCCCTCCTTCGATCACATCGGGAGCCTAAACCGGCCCACCTACCAGGTCGTGCTCCCAGGTGGCGGGCGGCCAACACCTTTACAGAGGACACAGACAAACAGAGCACAACGCGGGTAGAAACAAAAAACACTCGGTAACCAGCCTGAACCCCAACTGAATGACGGACTTAGAATGGGGTAGCTGGTATGCACCTCCATTCGCCAAGGGCCTGGATCTCCTCTCCTTCTGCCTCACACTCTTCGTTCTTCTTCCAATGGTCTCGACAGGCCCCCTCCTCCCCTCCTCCTCGTCCTCCTCCTCCTCCTCCTCGTCCTCCTCCTCCTCCTCCTCCTCCTCCTCCTCCTCCTCCTCCTCTCCTCCTCCTCCGCCTCCGCCTCCTCCTCACATGTCGCAGGGAGCACCTCACGCCCAGAGCAGGCAGCGCCGAGAGGGGGGGCACCACGAGGGGCCTGCCGCCTCCTCCCGAGGAGGAGGAGGTGCGACCCTGCAGGACCCTCCACGCCCTCGCAGGCCCACCCCCAAGCCGACGCTGCACGGATCAAGAGGCCCTCCGATCCTCCAAGTTCGCCCTCCTGCTCGATCCCCGGGAGGAGGTGGCGAGACCCCCCGGCGGCGACACCCCTCGGCAGTGCCCGACAAGAACGCGGCATCGCTTGCAGCCGAGCCGAACCAGGAGGAATGAGGAGGAGGAGGAGGAGGCGGAGGAGGAGGAGAGGGCCCATGCAGGAATAAATCGAGGCTGAGGCGGCGGAGGAGGAGGAGGAGGAGGAGGAGGAGGAGGAGGAGGAGGAGGGCCCGAGAGGCGTCCCCCAAGGGGGGGGGGTTAGCGGCGGATGGGGCGCCGCGGAGGGCCGAGCGGCCGCGGGCGGGGGGGGGGCAGCGGCGCGCGCCGCGCGCCCGGCGTGCGCCCCAGCCCCCCCCCCCGCAGCGGAGGGGTCAAGAGGAGGAGGAGGAGGAGGAGGAGGAGGAGAGAGGAGGAGCGGCCCAGAGAGGAGGAGGGAGGAGGAGGAGGAGGAGGGGAGGAGGAGGAGGAGGAGGGAGGAGGTGGAGCGTGCCCAGAGAGGAGGAGGAGGAGGAGGAGGAGGAGGAGGAGGAGGAGGAGGAGGAGCCGTGGGACGGCGGCCGCACGCCGCTGCTTCGCAGCAGCCTGGGCCCCGAAGGCAGCAGAGCGGCCCCCGAGGGCGGCGGGCGGCGGGCGGCGGACGACGGACGACGACGACGGACGGCGACGGCGACGGCGACGGCGACGGCGACGGCGACGACGACGACGACGACGACAACGACGGCGACGACGACGACGACGACGACGACGACGACGACGACGACGACGACGACGACGACGACGACGACGACGGACGACCGACGACCGACGACCGACGACGACGACGTCGGCGACCGACGCCGACGGCGCCGAGCTCCCAGCGTGCAAAACAAGTCGTTTAGGGTGTCGGTGCCACGCCAGTTGCTCCCACGACACCGCGAAAACATCACCACGGAGGGCGATATACCACATACCCAGACCCCACGCGCTGCGAAAAGATCACGACGGCAGGATGTGTTGGCCTGTTTCGGCACCCAGGCAGGGGCCCTTAGCTGGGCCCCAGGACCACCATAAAACAAGCCGTATGAAAAGACATGAAAGACCGGTCTGGGGGAGGGAATCGAGACCTCTGGAGTTCACACTGAAGCAAGTCACGACGTGCGGGGTCTGGAAACCTTCTTCCTCATATCGGCGCAGGGAGTCCGCACCCTGACTGGAGTGCAGGATTGCGCTTGCTCTTGCTTCAATGCCGTTGAGCTCGTGTCCGTGGTCGTACCCGACCTCGTCACAATGACTTGCGTCAACATCTATGCTAGTTACGTGCCGGGCGAAGGCAATCATAATATTCATGCCAGAGGGCGAACCGAGGGGTAGCAAATTCTACGCGAAGGTGCCAAGCGAAGGTTTGTCGAACACGGTATTCGATGCGCACTGATGTGTCCTGGAAGGGGCGCTCAAGAGGTAACGGATGAGGATAAGGATGCAATACCACAAGCGACAGAGGCCCTGTACGGTGGAGTGAATGAGTTTTAAGCTACCCCATCCCTCCCCTCACCTCCCCTAGCCATCCGTCACCTCCTCTCCGCTCCTCCTCTCCGATCCAAACCCCTCCCCGTGCTCCTATCCCGTACCTTTCCCCCTCCCTCTATTCCTCCTCTCCTCGTACCCCATCCACCTCCCAGGATCCCTTCCAGGACCCTCTGTTGCATATGCTGGAAGGTGCACAGCAGAAACAACATAGGCTGTTAGAGGTCTCTGGAGGCCTCCGCAGGCCAAAAGCGGGCCGCAAACGTCCAACAGCTCGATCCTCAAGCCTCCCTCCTCGGGACACCCGGCTGCCTTCTTGGCTCGGCCCCACTCAGGGGAGGAGCCGAGCGAGGAAGAGGCCACGAGCAGAGGGGACTGAAGGACAAGCCATCTGGCCTCCTCCTCCTCCTCCTCCTCCTTGATCCCCTCCTCCTCCCCTTTTCCTCCTCCCCGTCTCCTTCTCCTCCTCCTCCTCCTCCTCCTCCTCCTCCTCCTCCTCCTCCTCCTTTCTCCTTGTGAGCAACTCCTCCCCGTCTCACCCACAAACGTGTCAGTAGGGCGGGCGGTGCGTTTCGCGTGGGACTCTCTCACCATCTATGATCCTGGAGCGTGAAATTTGCGCCAATTTCAAGGATGGAGGGCGATCCATGTTCAAAATGTGGCTCTCGCACTAGCGTCGCGCACATTCGCCGCAAAAGTTTGCCAGAGCTTCAAGGATTCGTATGATTGACTTTTATAAGAGTGGTGTTCTGGCACGATTTAGGATTTCCAGGACGCAAAAGTCATGTTGATTCCTACGAATGGTGTTTTGGCACGGTTGAGGATTATCAGAAGGTTGTCTTTCAATGGGGCATTGGCCCACAATGAAACAAACTATTGCAAGGACCTAGAAAAAGGGAACTTGGAAGGAAGGTATATTACAGCATCGTTGATGCATCTTGGGTTTACACCGGTTTTCCTCCTCCTCCTGTTCCTGTTCCTCGTCCCCCTCCTCCTCCTCCTCCTCCTCCTCCTCCTCCTCCTCTTCCCGCCCCTCCCCCTCCTCATATCATACTCCTCTACCCCCCTCGTTCTCTCCACCCCTCCCTCGATCCACCTGCTCTCCGTCTCCTCCTCCTTCTCCTCCACCTCCTCTTCCTCCTCCGGATCCTCATCCTC